AGACATCTCATGGCAGGGGAACCTGGGCACCCAGAGAGCTGATCCCATCCATGCGGGGAGCTCAGATCCTGGGAATTTGCTTACCCTCATTTAACTCTGAAGTGTTTACACAATTAAAACCGCCTAAGCTGCATTATCTTGTTTACTGGGATGCTCTGCCCTCCTCAGCCCAAAATAAAACTCCACCACCTCATCCCTAAGAATGAGTCATTAATAGACACAGCCTGAGCAAGCCAGGTTTCTTCTGGGGTGGATCTGGAGTAAGACAACACCTCGGGGCCTGACCCACAGGCACAGGAGGCAGAGGCTGCCCTGGAGGAACCCTCCATGCCAGCACCAGCCGGAATGCCACAGGGCTAACGGCACCAGCGCACGGATCAGTACCTCTCCAGCCAGCACCCTGACACCGCTTCACACCTTTTGCACCGGCAGCAAAAACTCAAAGGCTTGGGGTGCCAAACAGCAGACCCAAGATCTGCCACCTTCCCCGTCCCTTCCAAGCATCTCATAAAGGAGCTCAACGCAGCCGTCAACTCCAAGGCAAAGCAAGAATCAACACAGGAGCTGAGAGGCAGGGGAGCATAGCCGAGAGAGGACATCGAATGCCCAAGACATCGGTGGCAAGCCATTTTCTTCCTAGGATGGGGAATAGGGATTAGACGACTTCTACCAGCCATCAGTCTCCCAATTTTGTATTCTAAAAGGCAGATCAAGCGATAGGAATAAAGAAACACAAACGAATAAAGCCCTGCGACTGTAGATGGGAGGGAGCAGGGAACGGAGCCAGGGCTCGCCAGCTGCTTCAATGGGGTGTTTGTCTCTCATTTCTATTTTTGCGGCACCTCTGCGTAACCTGGAGGAGATGAGGCTCTGCATGCTAAAGAGGGCAGCCAGCCTTCGGGGAAACGGCAGGGCTGTGAGCACGGGAGGAAAAACCCTCCCCAGATCAGAGAGAGGAGGGGCGAGAAAGGAGAGAAAGTGGGAGAGGTAGGTGGAGGGGGGAGAGGGAACAAAGGCAGAGAGAGAGCACCAAAACCAGCATGGGAGCTCCCGCGCCGGCTGCGAGCTCGCCGGCTGTTAGCACCCACAAAGGTGACACATGCAGGTAATGCTGACCTTGCAGAAGATGCTTCACCTCTTTAAAGAGCAGAACGGGGTGATTTCAACAACAGGGAATAATACTGCAGTGTTACCTTCCCAAGGCCACTGGAAAAGGGCCAGCCAGGAGGACACGCAGATGAAATGAGTTTGCTAGTTGCTGTCCCCACTGGCCCCTCAGAAAACGGTTCCAAGTCAAAGTGGCGAAGCTTGCTCTGTTCAGCTCAGCAGATTTGATGCAATAGCCCCGGACAAGGCAGATGGGGGAGTTTTGCTCAACAGCAGAAGAAAAAAATCCAAGGAAAGAACATCTGCCATCTCTCTCCCAAAATGCTGCAGATAAGAGCAGTTTCACATCTCTAAACAATTCTAAAAGAATCCCAAAGTATTTTCTATATTAGCTGACCAAGAACGACTTTATCCCTTTGCCACCAGTCAAGCCACCTCTCCATGGGACAGGGCAGCTGTTTAAAAGCTCCCAGCTGGCCTACTGAATAGGACTAGAAGTGAAAGAGAAAAGAAGTCATTTCTGTATCCAGCTGAAATGAGAGGAAGGATTTGGGGAGATAAAATGGAATCTGGCTGTGACTGTGTCAGACAGCCTTTAAAATTTTCTTGCTTTTTAATTAACAACAAGCAAACCTCAATTTTCTCTCCAAGGAAACACACAAACATCCCTTAAGATGTCATCACATCGGCTTGACTGAAGGGCTGGTGTGCCCTTCAGTTTACCCACTGCAGGCTGGTTTCCCCTCTCCTTCCCGGGTGCTGTGGCTATGCCACAGTGCCACGGAGGCCGATCAGCCTGCGGAAGGGAAGAGCACTCGCTCCCGCTTACCTGTCTCTCACCACCA